AGATCAAGCATCTACTTTCAAGCTATGAGAACCACCATTTCTCCATCTTGCCTCACCAAGATAATACGGCACACCCAGCTTTGGCATGGCCCATGACACGTACGATCGAGGCCTTGACAAGTGCTTTACTCGTAGAGCTCCTAGATCTAACCGGTTTCTGTGCAATGATTGTTCATAATCCGAATGGACAATCCAATCGATTATGCAATCCCAATCCCGAAGCTCCCACTCAATCAAACATATATAATATCTTGATTATGTTACATACATTCATTCATTATGACCATCCATAAGAAAGAATCATGTTATTCTGAAACACAGTTGATCGGTTTTAAGCAACAATTGCTCAAACCAGATCCTGAAACGAAAAATCAAATTTTGGTGAAGCGTCGGTACCTAGACCGATCGGTCTACGCGGTTCGGTCTTCGGGTCTGCGTCGGTCCGTTCGGTCTGGAATGGTCAGTCCGTTCGGTCTGACTCTTCAGTCCGTTCGGTCTGACTCTCCAGACCGTTCGGTCCAGATCAATGGTCCGGACTCTTGCCCCTTCAGACCTTCTCTCTCGGACTAGTGACCTAGATCGAACGGACTGACTAAGCAGTCCGTTCGGTCTGCACACCTTAGTCCGTTCGGTCCAACATCTTGGTCCGAACGGACTGGATCGTCTAGCCCAGAGAAACGACGAACCCTAGACCGTCCGGTCCAGAGGACCAGACCGTTCGGTCTAGACGGAAAAAACGCGATTAGATCACGTTCTTCGTTGTTTCGGTCCCGATTCAGATCCGAATTCGACCCCGTTTTCGCCTGCGAACTCAGAACAGAAGCCTCTTGCACACAACAAAGAACATGAAATCTACCCTAGATCCATAATCAAATCATGCATAGCATCAAAGCAAACACGGTTTCAAACAATTCAAATCCTATAACGTGCGTGATCGGGTTCTAACAAAATCATGCAGAGCAACCAGGCTCTGATACCACTGTTGGGTTTTCCTGGGATCTCAAGAGCGAATCTAATTTCTAAGAGATCAGTTCTAAGGTTTGCGCAGCGGATGAAAAACAAAAATTTTGATAAAACCCTAAAACCTATCATGCATGATCTTATAGAAACGATAGAACGCTTACCTCAATCGATCCGGGGCCTGTATCAATTGATGTGTTCGTCCGATCACTGTAGGCAGGAAGAATACCTTGCCCTCTACACGTATCCACACCTCGGGATGGATTCCAACCTTTGAAACTTGTCTGCTAGGACTCGAATCTTCTATTCGATGATGTGCTTTGAGAAAACGAGATTTAGATCACTTCTTCAACCCTCTAGACTCTCCAAAAAGGTCTGAAGAAGTTCACTTTTTCGGCTCCCTAGTGTTAGGGTTATTAATCTCCTCTTATTCAAGTGATTAACCCTAGATCCGGACTTTAAAATTAAATCCGAACCTCAGACCGAATGGACTGCTTAGTAGTCTGTTCGGTCTGGACACTTGGTCCGTTCGAACCAGTCTCATAACTAGGTCCGTTCGGACCGACAGGTCAGTCCGTTCGGTCCAACACTTGGTCTGTTCGGACTGGACTCTCTAGTCCGTTCGGTCCAACAATTTGGTCCGTTCGAACTAGATGCTCCGGTCCGTTCTGTCCACTCCTAGACCGAACGGTCTGGACCTCTTGTCCAGATTTCTCGACGTTTTCTCGTGCATTTGTCCTTCCCTGCGTGTGTGACCCTGTAGGCTCATTCGATATAGCAGTATAACCCCAAATCTCTATTCCGGATATACAAGACATAGGCGGTCTCTAGCAAGACACTATGACTACCTATCTCGAATAGAGTTTGTTCGTGATCTTACGAACGCCAGTGATGATTCCGGTTGATGATCCTTTTGTATCACGATATCATATGTCGAATATAAGGCATGGACAAGCCACCTTATCTGATTTGACTGCTTTCTCGTTTACTGAGTTCGACTGTCTGAAATAGACGACGTTCGTCTATAGTGCGGCCACACATTTCTACAGTCTCGCTCACACGAGGGGCCCAGTGATATCTCTCTCTTTTATGAGAGGTACAAATCCCGTCTTGACTATCTACAATCCAGCACATGATTCGTTTCGTACCTGATACACGCCTTTATAGTCCTCCTGTTACGCAGGACGTTTGACGTATTCAAAGCACGCAACTCCTCATCAGGACGTTTGACGTAATCAAAGCACGCAACTCCTCATGTTGGATTCCGTAGATATCTCAGGTCTTAGGATCCAATCATGGAACCGTCATATGAGATTCAAGTCATGACGCTAGTCCATGTGACAATCTCATGCGGGTCAATCCAGTATTCCGTTCTCCAACGAATACCTATGATTGTGATCGTATCCAAATACTTATGATCATCTATATGGATTTCATAACACATCTAGTATGCAAGAACATGTAATGAATCAAATACTCTCATAAACCATAGAAAGTATCAATACATCAAATGTATCTAAATAAAGCTCATAAACAGTACATCATAGAGCACTAAACCAACAAGATTGGCATAGAATTCTCTCACAAGTCCTTTGCTAAATGAGCATGCATAAGTCATGGTTCCAGTAAGTTGACGTTCAGCAAACAGATCCCAAACATTATTCTTTCGGAAATCCATAACATTCACGTTCCTTTCTGCCAGAACCTCAACCCCCTTAAATTTCTCAAATCTCTTCTTTGTTTCAGCAGATAAGAACTTGTCAGAGAGGGGTTTGATAGCTTTATCACCTGATTCACTGGTCTGAGCAGTTGGTGCAGATGATCCTGCAGTGTTTCCCTCCCTCGCTTTACTGGGTCTCTGCGGCCTGTGAGGACCTCTTGAGATCTCCTTCTCACAACCCGAAGTTGTTTTGTGTTTCCTGGTCATTTTAGCTTTCACCTTTTGTTGCAGGACGATCAAGGGACTATCCGAGTTGTCTCAGCTTGCTGGAACAAGAACTTCGGTGGCACGAGATTGAGTCTCTGTCACTGTAGCCGCATTATCTTCCTTTGGTGATTCCTCTAGGGTTTTAGTGATTGTACGCTCATCGCTCATCCCATCTATTTCAGTAGTGTCATCATTCATGTCTTTCCTGGCACACCCTGTTTCATCTTGTTCCTGCCTCTGAGTGTGAATTTCAGATTTCGGGGGATTGTCCAAACTGACATTTAATCCATCACCTGCTCTTTCCTCAACTGGAATTTCTTCTTGAGCCATTCTCACTTGAACTTGTTCCTTTGTCAGATCCTTCTCAGTTGAATGCTTCAGCGACGCAGCATCCTCAGAATGAGAGGACTCAGGTACCGATTGCTCAGCAGGTCGAGTCCGATCAGCCACATCCTTGCTCAATTTCGTCTTTCTTCTTTTCGTCTGCAACAGAATCACCTCTGAGTCTGATTTTTCCATCTCCTCTGGGATTGCATGCTCCTGTGTTCTGATTTCTTGTTCCTCACCTGTATCCATGACCGTTGGTTCTTCGATAACCACAGGAAGAATAGGGTTACCTGAATCACGAGCCTGTCGAGCAGCGTGTCGTGCTGAGCGACGCTCCCCTGGTCTAGTAATCTTTCCAGTCTTCTTGTTCGCCATCTGTGATTGAAATCCTTTCTGAAACAAAGCACCGTGAAATCCGAGCCACCAAGAAGAGAGAGAGAGAAAAACTTGATCGTGGGTGAGTTATGAATTCGATAATTTAGGGCACGTTCAGCAACCCCTGTCTTTAGTACGAGTAATTCAAATTTTGAAAATAAACCTGATTATTTTTCAATTCCCGCTGAAGCACAATTTTAGCATATTCAAAATACTAACTCTTCTAAATAATCACAAGTTTGATAGTAAGCTCGATAAACAAAAATTCTAAGTAAATATGATGAGGTCAGAGATACCTGTCACTAAGACACTCACATCGCTGAAATTAATCCGACCATCGGTTGCACTTCACACATTCTCAGATGCTTCTCAAGTCTTACACAAATTTAAACTATTTTGCAGAGCAATTCAGATTCTGAACTTCTAGGACGAAGTATTCAGAATCTCTTGTTATCATCAATGTGACAACTTCATTTCTCCCCCTTTTTTTTTGCCCTTAGACCATCACATAGAATGCTATCTCCCAACTTAGACCCGAGCACCTCATGAGTTTACTCATATCATGGTTACTTTCAAGTCTTATTCCTTTTAGTTTACCATGACAGAGGAGCAACAGAATCAGTTATATAAATCTGTATTAGCGAGATATACCTGAGAAATAGTGAAGTACTTCTGACTTTCGTACCCATCTCTTTGAAGTTCACATCCACTGACTTATACCTCTTCCTGCACACTTCTTTAAAAAACTTGAGAAAATACTCAGAGTTCCCCCACACCGAGGGATTTTTGCAAACCAACAAACCTGTTCATATCTAGAGGTTTAGTAAATATGTCAGCCAATTGTTTTTCAGTAGAAATATACTCAATGATCAAGGTTTTCTTCTCAACCTGTTCTCGTAGAAAATGGTGACGAATCTCAATATGCTTAGTTCGAGAGTGCTGAACAGGATTCTTTGAAATGTTAATGGCACTCGTATTATCACAATAAGCAGTAAAGCAAGGTAAGTTGATACCGTAATCGGAGAGCGTCTGGCGCATCCACATAAGTTGAGTACAACAACTTCCCAAGGCTATGTATTCTGCTTCAGCTGTGGATAAGGATGTAGAGTTTTGTTTCTTGTTGTGCCATGCCACCATGTTGTTACCAAGAAAGAAACAACCTCCAGAAGTACTTCGTCTATCATCAGCATGACCTCCCCAATCTGCATCACAGAATCCCACAAGCTCACAGCTTATCTTTCATATAATGTAACCCATATTCCACAGTTCCTTTCACATATTTGATGATTCACTTAACTGCCTGCAAATGAGATTTTTTCGGTTTGGCCTGATATCTTGCACAAATGCCCACACTCAAGCACAGATCAGGTCTACTTGCGGTCAAGTAAAGTAGACTTCCAATCATTCTCCTGCATAGCTTAGGATCAACATCTTCTCCATCTTCATCATGAGTCAGCTTTGTAGTAGTGGACATTGGTGTTTTTGCAGATTTACTCCCATCTAACTCAAATCTTTTGACCAACGTCCGAGCATATTTGCTTTGGGAGATGAACATGCCATCATCTGTTTGTTTGACTTGTAGCCCGAGGAAGAAATTTAATTCTCCAAACTTGCTCATCTCAAACTCATCACTCATCATCTTCACAAATTCGTCCACCTTTCCCAAGCCCGAGGTGCCTCTTTGAGTCCATACAGTGCCTTCTTCAGCCGAAAAACATGATCAGGATGATGTGGATCTTCAAAACCAATGGGTTGTTCCACATACACTTCCTCTTGCAGGATCCCATTAAGAAAAGCGCTTTTAATATCCATCTGGTAAAGTTTGAAATTGAGGCTGCAAGCAACACCGAGGAGTAGGCGGATGGTTTCCAGACGAGCCACGGGTGCAAAAGTCTCATCAAAATCAACTCCCTCAACCTTAGTATATCCTTGAGCCACCAGACGAGCTTTGTTGCGAACGATTTCTCCGAGCTCATTTGACTTGTTCTTGTACACCCACTTGGTCCCAATAACATTAGTATGTTGAGGATGTGGAACCAGGTACCAGACATCATTCCGGACAAATTGCTCCAACTCATCTTGCATAGTCCGAACCCAGAACTCATCATCAAGTGCTTCACAAACTCGCTTGGGTTCAATCTGTGAGTTGAAACATGTAAACCGAACTAAATCTCTATAATTAATCCTCGGTTTACCTCTAGTTTGTCGGGAATCATGAATGTCACCAATGACATCACCAGCAGAATGATTCCGATGGACGGATATTGTCTTAAATATATAGGGATATCCTGATCATCAACGTGATCGGAGTCAGAGGATGAGGCATTAGATTCCGTCTTCTCAACAGATGTTGACTTATCATGAAGTGGTTCTGAGGTCTGTGTAGCAACAATTGGAGGAAGAGAGACTTCCGTAGGTTCTGGCACCTTCTCTTCATCAAAGACGACATTAGCAGATTCCATCACGGTTTTAGTACGGAGATTAAAAACTCTATAGGCAGCAGAGTTTTGTGCATATCCGAGAAAGATGCCCTCATCACTTCTTGCATCCATTTTTCCCAAGTATTTTCTGTCATTTAAGATATAACAAGTGCATCCGAAAATATGAACATACTTGAGAGGTGGAGTTCTCCCTTTCCAAATCTCATACGGAGTCTTAGCCATCCCATATTGAAGATAAATCTGATTTATTAGGTAACAAGCCATGCTCATAGCCTCTGCCCAGAACCAGATGGCAACATTTTTAGCATGCAGCATAGATCTAGCCATCTCTTGCAGTGTTCTGTTCTTTCTCTCCACCACATCGTTTTGTTGCGGAGATTTAGGAGATGAGTATTCATGACAGATCCCATGTGTGTCACAAAATCTCTGAAACATGTCATTTTCGAATTCCCTACCATGGTCGCTTCGAATGCGTTGCACCAATCCCTTCACATTCTTCAGTTGAAGAACTAGATGCTGGAAGGCTAAGCAAGCTTCTGATTTTTCTCGTAAGAACCGAACCCAAGTAAACCTTGAGTAATCATCAACACAAACCAGAACATATCGCTTTCCACCATAGCTTTCAGTTTGCATTGGCCCCATTAGATCCATATGGATAAGTTCCAGAATACGTGATGTATGTATCTCTACAGTTTTCTTGTGCCTTATCCGAATCTGTTTACCGAGCTGACATGCTTTGCAGACAAACTTGTCACTGTGAGAAAGTTCTGTAAGATTTCGAACAGCACCTGATTTAGATAGCTTGACCAATGTTCGCATATTAATATGGCCCAGTCTTTGATGCCAAAGGTCCAGCTCATCTTTCTTCACCATCAAACATGTCTTCTGAGCAGAGATCCCATCCGAGTTGATCCAAGTGTAACAGTTGTTGGAATTACGTTTCCCTGTCAATACACACTTGTTTGTCTCATCAGTTACATAACAGGCGTTCTTTGTAAACTTAACTCGCATTCCATTGTCACAGAGCTGACTAATGCTGATAAGGTTTGCTTTCAGACCTTGTACCACTTTAACATCTGCCAATCTAGGCAATCCATCGTAGTTTAGTGTCCCTTTACCCAAAATTTTACCTTGTTTACCATCTTCAAAAGTAACACTGCCGCCCTTTTGGGTCTCCACAAAGTCTTGCAACAGACTTTGATTTCCTGTCATATGTCTAGAACATCCACTATCGAGATACCAAACACTCGAGTTATCACTATTCTCAGTAGTGTAAGCCACATTACACTTCAGATCAGACTTCCGATCCCATCTGAGATTCCAGGCAGGATAATTGTAAGGTGATAGTGTGTACCTTGGATTATCTCTGTTTCCTTTTAGATAGAAACAGTTTCGCCTGATATGTCCCACTTTGCCACAGTGATAGCAAGTCCGACTTTCTCTTTGTCTGTAGATTGACTGCCCCACAAATCATTATGGTTACAGGATTCTGAATGCTGGCACAGGTGCTTCGTGCGTCAAGTTTCCACCTGATACAAACTTGGAACTGGACTCCGTTTTTCCTCGATACCCAAGGCCAGAGTGATCACCAGAACTTCGGCCTATACAAGTAAATGGTCCAGTTTCCCAGTACCACTTCCTAGAAGATGAAGATTCTTCTTGGTTTCTTCCAACTGGCACTTCATGATAGAAGCCTCCTCCTCTTTCTGGGTCAGCTCTTGTTGAGTTTTAGTCAGTTAGACTTGCACATGTCTGAGTTCCTTCTCCAGTTGTTGTTTTTCACTGATGAGTTGTTTATTCATATGCACGAGTTTGATCATTTCTTTGAAGAGTTCTTCCTCTGTGATTTCTTCTTCATCACTCTCTACTTCTTGACTTCCTTCTTCCTCGATTACTCCTAGAAAGGCCACAAAATTTGACAAATCCTCTCCTTCACTATCGCTTCCGGAATCTGTAGTCTCCTCCTCATGAGTAATCAGTGACTTTCCTTTACTCTTGAGACATTCCAGCTTTGTATGACCAAATCCTTTGCATTCAAAACATTGAGTTTCTTTGAGATTCTTCAGTACACTCTCCCTCTTGATGATACTTGGACATTCTGCCTTCCAATGCCCTGTACCTTTACATTCCAAACACTTCCTAGCATCTCGATCATTTTGCTGTCCAAATTTCTTCTTTCCTTTGAAGAATTTGTTGAACTTTCTAACAACAAGGGACATCTCTTCATGTAGTTCCTCTTCAGATAACTTCTTGCTTTTCACACCTTTTCTAACTTCCTGATCAGTCACTTTAGATTCTGGAACATGTAGAGCCACTCCTTTTCGTGAATGAGCAGAAGACCCTCCATTCATTAGCTGTAGCCTTAATTCATGGGCAGCAAAAGTACCCACTGCTTCCTTGAATGTGACTGTATCTAGATTGTTAACTCCTTCGAACACCAGGATCTGTGAATGAAACTTGGCTGGTAAACTATTCAGAAGTTTCTTCACCAGCTTGTCATCAGTGATCTTCCTACCAAGGACACTTGCCTCATTCGACAATGCACTCAGTTTACCGCAGAATTCCTTGACACCTTCATTATCACCCATCTTTAGACGCTCAAACTGTAGATCGATCATGTCCAATCTATTCCTTTTTACCTTAGAAGTTCCTTCATGAATAAGTTCCAAGGTACCCAAGCTTCCTTGGCAGTTTCACAGCCTTGAATATGCTCAAATTCCTCATGACACACACTTCTGAATGTTATCGACAGTGCCTTCTGATTCATAGAAGAGTCCTTCTTCTCTTGAGGTGTCCATTGACTTTTTGGTTTTGCTTTTATAACTCCATCGATAACTTCAGTTGGTCTAGTCCAGCCATCAATAACCGCACTCCAAGTGTCTTCGTCTAATCCACGAATGTACGAGCTTATTTTGACTTTCCAATGCCCATAATTGGTTGAGTCAAGCATGACTGTCTTTCCGAGCGATTGTAGGTCTTTAAAACCTTCCATCGTGTGTGACTGAATCGCAACACCGATATGAGAGGAACAATTTCCTACGATCGGTGACCTGCTCTGATACCAATTGAAAAATATACTTCACACGATAGATCAAAACAAAATACTCAAACTGATTCTATTTCTTTGATATGAGTCAAATACACTTCAGTATTTTCCAAGTAATACTCAAACCAGTTTCACTCCCCCTGAATGAAACTTTCAGTCTCACAAGAAATTCTATCAGCCCAAAACACACTGTGTATAACACACACCACGTGTCGCCCTAGAACTCGTCTAGGCTTCGTGAGCAGTTCGCTTGTTGTTGCAAGGATCCCCCTCAATTCAACCTCACGTTTTCTCAGATAACTCTCACCAGTGTTTCCCGTACCAAGCTCCCCTTTTACTCTCAAGAATACAATAGTTCTCAATGATCTCAGCAACACCGACTCAAGCACTTCTTTCAGCCTTTATTCACTTTTGCAATCGAATCTCTGAATATCTTCTAAATTTGTGTTCTTCCTTTTTCTCTTAGGTGCAGCTGTCTTCTTTCCTCTTTTCATTTCTTCCCTTATGTGCTTTCCAAATTCAGCTCCATACTTCCATTTGTTGATTTGAACTTCTAGATGTTGAATATGCTCTTTTATTGCTTTAACATTTTGTTTGTTTGATATTTGGGTAGATGGTGTGATTTGGGTTGTATGTTGATTTGTTTGTTTGTTTGATGAACTAACCGATCACTTGGTGTTGGAAAGATTATTCCTTCTATGTTTTCTCCGTGGGTGTTATGTCACAGTTGATATTCTGATGGTGTTTAACTAGTGGGGATAAAGAAATAGATATCAACATATATTAATATCAAATTCGTTGTTGTTTTGACATAATTGGGCTATTAAATCATCTGGAAAGGGAGTTGCAGTTGATTTTCTCATTGCGTTCTCATTTTCTTACTGGGTTTTAGCTTGTTCAGATTTTTGTTTGGTTCTTTTTTGGTTTTACATATAGTTAGTTGATCGAATGTATTCTATGAGTAAAAGATACCAATATGTTATTTCAAAAAATTAAGTTTTAATATGTTTTTTTTTCATATTTGGATTATTTTTATACAAGATATTATTTAATTATCTACGTTTTTATTAAAATTTTGTTTTTAAAATTCGGGTTCGAATACTCGCGAGTACCCGAATATTATCTCGGATATCCAATTTTCGAGTACTCGATCACATCGGGTTTGGACTCGGGTAATTTTTTTATAAAAATTTCGGGTTCGGATTCGGGTTTGGGTAATCCTAAAATTTCGGGTATCCGACTCGTGCCCACCCCTACTAGATGATCCGTATGAGATTGTCACATGGACATGAGTCATTACTTGAATCTCATGTGATAGGTTTTCGATTGGATCTAGGGGTGGCCATTTCGGTTAATAACCGAATAATCGAACCGAACTGAACCGAATAAGAGCGACTCATGAAATACGCGGTAATTCTCAACCTCGGTTCGGTTCGGTTGATAACTGAATAACCGCGCTTATTCGATCCGTTATTAGGTTTTTTTAAAAGTTTTAAGTTTTTAACCTGTACTCTAGGGTTACTTTTTTTACAGCTCACTTCTAGTCTTTTACCGTCTCTCTCTCAGACTCACGCGGTCGTCTTCGACTCAAGCTCCGTCTCTCATCTCACCATCGTCGTCGCCGTCACCGTAACCGTCACCGTCACCGTCGAGGGTCTAAATCGTCGTCCCCTCTCGTCTCTGTCTCCTCTTGTCTCTTTGTTGCCTCTCGTCTCTCCGTCTCCTCTCGTTTCGGATCCCTAGGTGGGTTACCGCTTTCTTCTCCAGATTGTCGTCGTCTTTCCTCTGTCATCAGTGGTCTTATAACGACCATATTTTTTTAGAAGAGTTAATTAGGGTTTAATTGATTAATAAAAAAAATTAGGAAAAATCGGTAATTTAATTGAGGATTTCATCACCAAATAAAAATTTAGAACAAAATTAAAACTAAAAGGAAAAAAAGGGCTTAGAGTGCAAATCTTTTAGGGTTTTTTTATCTTCTTTCTCTTTCTCCCCAACTTGGCCGCCACTTTCATTCTCTCTCTTCTCTCTCTCTTTCCCTTCCTCTCACACAATGTCACATTCCTCATCATCTCTCTCTCTCACACAAACAAGGTACTTCTTGTCTCTCTTCTCTCATCTTCATCTCTCATCTCTCTCACGTTATCTCTCTATTTCTCTACATCTCCTTTTGTCTTCTTCTTCTCCTTCTTATTATTATTTTTATTAATTTTCCTTTTTTTCTTTCACCGTGGTGATTTCATCCGTATCATCGTCGGAATCTTTTTCAGTGGTACGATTTAAATTTTTTCAATCCCATAATTCTAAATTCAAAACCTTTTACCGAAAATCAAAGTATTTATAGATTTTTGGAATGATTGTTTTTTTTATTAGGATTATTAATTATTAATTAATCATAGGTGAAGAAGATCTTGGGTTTGTTGGATTCGGGATCAAGGATTAGAGTGGATCTTTCACGATCCATCATTTAGAACGAGGTGAGGGAACTCGACAGAACTCCTCTTTCTTCTATTTGCTTAGACATGATGATAGGGAACGTAGATATCATGCGGTTAGGACTTTAGGATAGACGCCTTAAATTTCTTGCGGATTCATGATGTATGTTGATTGATGATTGATGATTGATGAATGATGATTAATGATCGATAATCGATGATTGATGAATAATGCATGATGATTTATATTTGATAAATTCTTGTTGAGTGATTATGGCTTATGACGTACATGTTATGTGATGACGTTTCTTAATATATCATTAGACCGTTAGAATGAGTTGAACTTTTGATATTAAATAAACTTTGGCATGATGTTTGGAAAGATGAGAGAAGTAGAGAATTGAGTTAGGGACTAGGATGTAACCTCTGACTGTGCTAAAAATATTTTAAAACTGAGTTTTGAGACCATGGTACGGCGACGATCCGTATGTGATGGTATGATAACAACCCGGGCATGGCAGCGATCCGTGTGGAGTGATAACCCCGACTACGGCGGCGATCCGTAGAGAGTTATTGCTATTGGTTGAGTTTTGAGGTCATGGTACGGCGGTGATCCGTATGTGATGGCATAACGACCCGGGCATGGCAGCGATCCATGTGGAGTGATAACCCCGACTACAGCGGCGATCCGTAGAGGGTTATTACTATTGGTCGTGTTTTGATAACCTGACTACGGCGGCGATCCGTAGAGGGTTATAACGATATCTTTGGTTTTGTTTTATAAAAAGAGTTTTAAACTAAGTCTGAGGGGTATTGAATAGTCCTAGAGTCTGGACTCGTTTTAAAGAATCGAATAAAGAAAAGTCAGTAGAAGAACGTGAATTAATAGATTGAGTTTTGCTTGAGTTGAATGTTGATTGAATTTGTTTTCTATTTGATTGTCTATGTTCGGTACGGAGGCGAGGTTTATAATCTTGCAACTTCACTGAACTATTCGCGTGCTCGCCCCTTCCTTTTTTCCACAAGTGAAAGGTGAAGCAGATCAAGTGGTAGGACTTGGTAATTGCAAGAGACACGATGCTTTAGATTTTTATTTTTATGAGTTCAATATTTTTAGACTTATGTTAGAATTTCATTATTGAGACTTCCGCTGTAGATTTTGAGATGATAGTATGGTATTAAGAATAAACCGAATCTTTCTTTTTTAAAAACCTAAGTGACGATTCAACGGGTCAAAATACCGGATTTTGGGTCGTTACAGGTCTCATCTCTCTCAGTCTCTGTCACGGCTTCTCCATCTCCTCAGATTCGTTCTCAATCTTTGTATCGGATCTGTTGATTGGTCCGTCTCTTTCAGTCTCTGTCATGTATTCTCCGATTTGTATTCCTGAATCTCATCGGTGGTCTCATCTCTCTCAATCTTTGTATCGAATCTTTGTGTTCCTGAGTCTTGCTCGTCATCTCACTCTCAGATTTGTGTTGTTGTCTTTTGGTATGATATGTTTGAAGTAATGTTCGTTTGGTTAATGTGAAGTTGCAGTTTTTTTTAAACAGAATTGTGGTAATGAAATTTGAAATTTTTGTAGACTTTTTATAATATTTTAAGGATTAATCATTTTGTAGACTTATTTGGATTGATCATTTTGAAGTTTTTGGAAGATTAATATTCTTTTTTTAAAATTTATCATAACCGAACCGATCTAAAATCGAACCGAATAAACCGATAGATTTAACCATTTGGCTATAATTTTATTATGCGAAAACCAACCGAACCGAACTGATTAAATCTATATAATCGTTTCGGCATGATTTCTTTGTAATCGAAATAATCGAACCCGAAATATCGAACCGAAACCTGAAATGGCCACCCCTAATTAGATCCTTTGACCTGAGATGTATATGGTATCCGACATGAGGAATGTTGTACTTTGATTGCGTCAAACGTCTTGCGTAATAAGAAGATTATAACGACGGTGGCTTATCGGCTGAGATTACCGGATAGGCTGAAAGTTCATCCGAGGTTCCATGTAGGGGTGGGCGATCGGATCGGATCGGGTTATTCGGATTCGGTTATTTCGGGTTCGGGTTATTCGGATTTGAAATATTCATATCCAATCGGATATATAATTTTAATCGGTTCGGTTCGGGTTCGGTTCGGTTTTTTTCGGGTTCGGTTCGGGTTTATCCAAACAAATATTCGATAAAAAAAAGTTATTGCAAGTCTTGAATATGATTTCTTAATTTGCTTGTATCCATTGATGAACATCATGTCAATACAAAGCCACAATAATTACAAGAACACTTTTTTGGATTATCATTAAGCTTGGTAAAAATAACTCCATACATTCGATCTCGCTGAAACTATCGTCTTTGACGGAACTATCCTCTCTGTTTTCTGAGATAATTGTGAATTTGAAGATAGATTTTTTTCTTTTGTCACCAACTCATTCTTCAACCTTAACTTATTGTGAATTTTGATTTTTCTAACTGTTTAAAAAAATATAGAGTTAAAAATCAACAAATATAACATAAATAAAAAAAATCAGAATGAGAAGTTTTTTAGCGAAAATTCCAAAATAGAGTACTATGTTTGTCAATTGTTTATGAATGAAATATGATCGGGAAAGACAAATCTCCCATGACACATAAACTCCATCCAACAAAAAATTCTAAATAAACAAAACTAACTAAATATTTCTAAATTCAAAGTCATGCACAAAAAAAAAATCAAAACCCAAATATTGAGAACAATGCAGAAAACCTGATGAACTTCCATCGAAGGGTTTATTAGATGACACACATTCAGAAAATTAAAAGAAGAATGTTGATTATCACCATCTGTTAACCAAATACAACACTCACAGTAGATTGCATATCAAAAAACTCATTCTCACACATTAACAATCTATATCCGATTGTCGACAGGAACTCACAACAAAAATCACAGAGATCCGACAACGACGAGCACGAGATCGACATAAGGATAAAAAGAAATCACATAATAGGGAGAAGAAGAATGGAACTTACAGTCAAAGAGAGGCGACGAACCGAAGCGAGGCAGACCAGAGAGAGAGGCGACCGACGAGTCGACGACGAGAGGTGCAGAGAGAGAGGAGACCGGCGAAGAGATATGCAGAGAGAGAGAGGAGGCTGGCAACGAGAGATGTAGAGAGAGACACGAACGGTGACGAGAGATGTAGAGAGAGATGAAAAACGATGAGAGCAGTGGAGAGAGACACGACGCAGACACAGGCGAACGTCGGCGACGGATAGGAGGGAGTTGAATTGAGTCGAGCTTGAGGAGATGGAGTCAAGCTCGAGGGAGGAAGAAGAGCTTGGCTTCGCTAATGGCAGAGCGGAGTTCGAAGCAGATGAATGTCGAGGAGGAAAATATAACCCTAATTTTTAATTTAATTTCGGTTTATTCAAATAACCGAAACCGATCGGGTATTTACCCGAACCGAACCGATCCGATCGATTATGGGATGACAAAAACCGATCGGTTATTTTTTACATAACCGATCCGAACCGAAAACCGATTAATCGGGTCGGTTTTATCCGAACCCGATTAACCCGATCCGAATGCCCATGCCTAGTTCCATGTGAGTTTCTTGAAAAGTATCTTGAGAATGAGGAGGGCACCGAACAGAGACAAACAAAGAGAGCTCCACCAATGATCCGAAAGCAATATGAGAAGCAGATCCAAGAGATACTTAATCACGAGACTTTAGAAATGAGTAAGAAGAACTAACGGACGAAGTACTTGGTACATTGGAAAGGGGAAGGGTGGGCTGAGGCAAAATGGGTGAATGCCAAAGATTTATTATTAGGGGTGACACGGGTCGGATACCTAGAAAAATCGGGGTATTTGGATTTGGATACGGAAGGTTCGGATATTTAATTATAAGATTTTTATTCGAGATTTTGGGATTTACGAGTATCCGAGATACGGGTATCCGGAATAATAGATTTAATTGTTGGTTATAATTTTATTGTGCGAAAACCAAACCGAACCGAACTGATTAAATCGGAGGTTTATCAGAAATGACCTTAAAATGATACTTGTACTTCATGGAGTAACATTCCCTCAGAAAAAAAAAATACCCCCTTCAGATATACCCTTCCCACATGTACAATAGAGGCATTATAAAAAATGCCCTTAAAATGCTACTTGTACTTCATGGAGTACCCTTCCCTCAAAAAAAAAACACCCCCTTCACATATACCCTTTCCATATGTACAATTTCCATTATACCCTTATATTATAAAACAAATAAAATTAAAATAAATAAAAATAATAATTTTCCTCCTAAAAAGCAGTGTCGATTTCTCTCTCCTCATTATCAGTTTTCATTCTCTCTCCTCCAGCATTTGCGTTCTCTCTCTCCTCCGTTTGCTCTCTCCCTCCGTTTGCTCACTCTCTCTCTT